CACTCTTACTCTCTCACTCTCTCTCTCTCACTCACTCTTACTCTCTCACTCACTCTCTCTCACTCACTCTCTCTCACTCACTCTCTCTCACTCACTCTCACTCACTCTCTCACACACACCCTCTCACACACGCTCTCTCTCGCTCTCACTATCCACCTCGTAGTGAATTCTAAGCTTAGTTTTTCATATTTGTGCCTCTGTTACTCGTACCCTCCTCCTCGTCCGTATTTCATGTCCCACTTTCCCCTTTCGTGTTCCGCATACCCCTATCACCCGCCCTTCCACGCCGCCATTCGCCGCGCCCTCGCCCTCGCGTTGGCCGTGCCCTTGGGCCGCGGCCGCGGCCGCCCCACCGGCTGGTGCAGGCGCACAGCGACCTGCCGCAACAGCGCGCGATCGATGCGCTCTCGCAGCGCCACGCCCCGCCCCTGTCGCCTTCGCTTTTGCGGGGAACGCGATCGAAACGAAACCGAAAACGCCACGCGGGAAAAGCGCTCTCTCGGCGAGCGAGTTGCTCCGGGAAAAACGCGCAAATTGGTTCGGAATTCGTTCGGTGCATTTATTTTTCTTTGTTTTTCTTCTTCTTCCATATATGGGTTTTCATTTCAATTCAACTTAATAAATATTAAACTGAAAGGCCAATGAATTCAGTTCATACTGCAAATATATTTCAAATTTTGCGCTCCTTCTGTGGGGAGCTCAGAAGCATTCAACAAAACAAAATAACAATGTAAAACTTGCACTTGGTTGTAAAGTTCTAGTAATAATAACTTGATAACTATTTATAAATGTTTAAATTATTGTATTATTGAACTTTTATGCGTTTTCATAATCTTGCAAAGCTAACGAGAATGAAAATAATACCTTGTATCTAAATTCTATGGGGTGCTTTGGTTAACAGTTCTTCCAGATATCTTTGATAGATGTAAGAGTTCAATTACGATATTTATTGTGAACATTGTTGGCGGTTTTGTCTTGTTCACGGTTACCTTTTTGATCTTCCTAATTGAGATTCTACCTTTATCGTCCTTCTGTCTGCTTTTCTTCATTGAGCTCCCTACCCTAGTATCCCGTCTTCTTTGCATCCCACCCTGCTATCGTTGCTCTTGAACTATACTGGAAGACCCTTCCTTATACTGGAAGTGCTCTGTACACAGTGTTGTAACCTTGGTGATGGTGATGGGGATGGGTTGTCAGTGGGGACCTCGGGGCAACATATAATAATGAACTCTCTTTTGTTTTGTGTTTGTCTCCGACCTAACCTATTTTTGTACTTGTACGTAGTTGACAATTACTTAAAAATTAAAGTAGCTTTATACAGTTTCATCAAATTACATTGCTCTAAATTACTCGCCCTTTCTTCGTAAGAAGAGAAAGTATTGTAGTCGTGCTCTGGAAAAGGACAAATTTATGGCAGAAAAGTTTATTGAAAGTCCGTGGTAACCAAAAAGTAGATAAATTGTTTATAAATGTGCTATTGTATTTACGATTCCTGCTAAATTGTGTTGTGAAGTGAAAGTATGAATATTCGGATATTTATTTTTTCTTTCCCGTCTTACGAACTCTTTGTAAGAAGATAAAGTTGTGTAACCATGCTCAGAAAACGACGAAATTTCGCCATAAAAAACCTTCTGAATTCTGGTATCGAAAAAGTGGATAAATCTTGTTGCTAAATGTAGAAAAAAATCCTCTTACTCGAGGTGTAGCCAGAATCCACGTTTTGTTGGTTCTTGATATCGAAAAATCGATTGACGGCAAAATATCCGTCCATCTGTGGTAAACGCTAGTGATTAAGCCTTTCAACCGAATTTCTCCCAAATTGATATTCCCCATCGTTCTGGCTGATGTCGCGACCCCTTGAATTTGAAACCGATATTTTAATTTTGGAGGTACTTTACATGAAGCCTCTCGGACATTTTCAAAATAGAAAAAAAGGCTCCAATATTTTGTATTCAATTTTGTAGTTCAATAGTGCGAAAGATGTTTAAGAGAATAGTGAAAGTCTCATATTTGGTAATATCTCCTATTTTTCGAAAATTGCAACAAAAAAAGGCTCAAAATCCTCTTCAATTTTTTCTTTATATTTTCTTCGCATATATAAAAAAGGACGGTAAGAAATATGGTGCTAGTCTCATTTTCGGCTATTGCTCTTTTTTTTCTGAAAATTGCAAAATCATTTCAAAACTACAAAAATGACAGATTTTTGTATCAGAAAAAGTTTGTTGTACAAGATTAGCTATTTAAATGAATAAATAAATAAAAAACCGGTGGTGCCGTAGAATGCCCCAGATTTTCTCGTCCTAGTTAGTATTCTATTCTTTCTAATGTTGACTAGTTTTTCCGATAGGTGTCATTGTCTTCTCGCCTTTATTCTGTCGTCTCCGAAAAACAAACATTTTTCACATTTTACTTAATTACTCAGCTTCGTAATGCTAGTACGAATGAAACACTGTACACTTATCGTAACTGGATAGCCGAGGTAGCTAACTGAGAAATAAGGCCTGAGCTCTTTGAGGGACAGATTCCTGATTCAATTCTTGGCCGGGAACTATTATTTGTGACAATTTTGTGTTGCCGCAGGAATTATTGATAATTCCAGAAAAAATATTGAAAATCATTTGAAGCAATTCTAATCGCAAATACTATTAATCAAGATAAATAAACTGGAAGTGATTTTCGAATGTTCAACTTTTAAACAAATTTTCACATCTCTTATTGGATTTGTAAAGAGTATTTACTATCTAATCAATTGTCTTTCGGCGCTTCTGACTACTACAGAAGTGTCATTTCTCTGTATATCCCGGGTGGCCGAAGTGGTTAAATGTCAGGTTCGGACTCAGCGTTTCCGAGAGAATTGACGCTGTTTTGAGCCTGGCTCGGGGATATGTCAAAAATCTGTTGCCGCAGAAAACTATTGAGAATTTCAGAAACTTTATTGCAAATAGTTGGAAAAAATTCTTCTCACATGTACAAAGTATTAAGATTCTATATAAACTGGATGTGTCTGTATGTCATTTTCGTCAACTCTCATTCAATATGTATGTCACGTCATTCAATATGTATGTCATTGTCATTCAATATAATATTCAAATCAATATAATATTGCGGAGCGTTTAGAAACAGCGGGAAAGTATGTGCTTAGGCAGCTCCACTAGTTTCATATAAAACCTCGGTTATAAAGAGACAGTATATTTTCTCTTTCTCGCCTACTGCGTACTTTCGTAGCAAAAAGAAAGTATTGCAATGCTGTGTAAGAAATTGTGATATTTCGACAGAAAAACTCTTATTGTGGGACCCGTGTAACTGAAAAATGGATAAATCTTGTTCATGTGTAGTAAATTACTTCCTCCAACACGTTGTGTATTTAGAATGCTCGTTTTGTGTATCCTTGAAACCGTAAAGTTGATTGACGGCAAAACTTCGAAAGGTTTTCTGTAAAAGGTCCCAAACTTATTTGTTATACTTCTCCTACGCAAGGTGTGGGAAACTTAAAAAACGGCGCAATTTCTTTCTACAGATCGCAGATTTTCTTTCAAATGACTAAATTTTCGAAAATTACCAAAGTTCAAAGATGATTTGGTGTCAACTATAATATTGAAGACCTTCTTTCTGTAATGAAATCTTTTGAAAGAGAAATCTTGGAATGAGATTTTGCACAATTTTTCGAAAATATGAATAGTTCTCGCGAAAGTTTGCTTGAAATATAGGCAAATTTTAAATAATTATTTTTTCAAAAACAGCTCCAATTTGTTTCTTAACAACCCCCCGCCCCACATGTGTATTAAAGTAAGGTAATACCTTGTGCAGGTCAAACGTCCGGCGAATTTTCGAAAATTGCAAAAATTAACATTGCAAATATTCAATATTGATGACTGACTTTGTTCTTAAATAACATTTCAAAAAAAAGAAATCTTTAAAATAGTTTATACAATTTTTTGAAAAATAGGTAGTTTTTGCGTAATTTGTGCTTGAAGTTGATGCCATTTATAATTTCCTTGCAGGAAAACGGCCCCAAATTGTTACTTGAAAATTTTCTGTAGATTGAGTAAAGGTTGCTTAAAAAATTGGCACATATCTCATTTACATTGAACTTTTAAAAATTGCAAAAGTTAGAAATGATGCAAGGAAGTGAATGCTGTATGTATGTCAAATGACTGTAACCTATCACCAGTTCACTTCAAATATGATTAGATGATAATAGGTTTCATGAATTCTTTCTCAGAATAGAAGAATGAGAATAAATAAGTGATATCCCATGTATTAATTTATACACTTTCACTATTCATTACAAAATCAAGTATTTTTAGGACATGTCATGAAATGAAGAATCAATTTTTATTCAGGCATGCAGAAAACTTGTATGCCAATAACATTGTGAGGAGGAGTGCATAACCACCTTTCATTTTCTTCATCTTCTTTTTCTTTTTTTTCTTCTTTCTTTTTCTTTGTCTTCTTAGTCTTCATTTATCTCAGTTTGTTTTTTGATGAAATGACAAATTCTTGAAGAATTAATTTTAATTACATTCAATAATGTATACAACACAATACTGTCCTTTCTGACCATTTCTCTCTTCTGGACCTTACCCTTAACGCAAACTTCTGGTTGTTTCGGTGAAATGTTTAGTCAGATGGAACATAGTGCTAAAGCATTCATTTCAGGAGTGCATCATTTTTGTAACACAAATAAGATGAATATGCAACACCATTTGCATCACATTCCATGCAAAATAGGAAGATGCATTGTTTTTCCACAATCTTGAATGATGTGGATTAAATTGTATTCCATAATATCTCCTTAAATCATTCTTGGACCTCAGCTTAATGAAATATGAAAACTAAATATGCGGTGAGGAAAAGTGCTTTGCACTTTGTGATTTCTCCACTCTTTGTTATTGATATTATTATCAAGTGCTAAAATTAGTTTGCTGCCTTTATTTATTTTAGTTTTTTTTCAGTTATTTGCTAATTAACTTCAGAGACAAAAATTACATATGTTGCAGATGGAGGATGAAGGAAATCATGGCAACGATGACACACGGTGCTTTATTCTGTCAACACTTGCAGCTCTTCACACATCACGAGTTATGTGCATTCTGTGTCAGACTCCTATGTTGGTGTTTGACAGATATCCCCTTGTTGATGGTACATTCTTCTTGAGTCCTCGCCAGCATAATAAGAGCTGTATTGAGGTAAGTGTGATAATACTAAATGTTTTTCAAAATGGTTGTACAAAGGCAGAAAAAACAATGGGAAGTGTGGAAGAGCAGGAGAGCGCAAGCATCTCCAGGTTAGTAGTTTCTGGTACCTATACTAAATTTGTATGTTATTATTTAATTTGATCATTTTATTTAAACTTTAAAGAAAGAAAAAAAGAAAAAAAGAAAAAAAGAAAAGAAAAAAAAAAAAAAAAAAAAAAAAAAAAAAAAAAAAAAAAAAAAAACAACAACAACAACAACAACAACTTCAATTAATAGCCCTAGAAATTAAATTCTCATTAGAAAGAACACAAAATTTAATTCCCAGATTTCCAAAAATGAAGTTTTTGTTCAAGTGGGGATAGGGTGTAAAAGAAAAAGCTCCAGTAATTTAAAGCAGCATCCAGTCACGTCTGTTTTTCATGAGAATTTACAAATGAATAGCAATGAAACTTGACTTGGAAGTAACAGACGGGTCTTGCATATTAAATATCAATTTAAAAAATGTATTGTATAGCTTCTAAACTATTCAGTTCTATAAAGATACAGTTATGTTGTAATAACCTTTAAACATACAGTTATCTTGTAATAAATCAACATTATTTGAGTAGTGTTCAATTATTCATGAACATTTCTTCCTAATATTACATTATTTGAAGAAATAATGTGCCATAAATTATGCCTTTCTTAACACGAGGCTTTCATCAACTTTATGTTTGGGAGACTTTTCATTCTATCACCTTTCTCTCACAAAGTGGACAAATTCAAAAGCACACATGCATGATGTAATGCCACTCCAGGAGGAGCAGAGGGAGAGGGTGCTTGTAGGACTTCAATACAATGCAATTAATCTCCAAGCCAATGCTACAAAATATTCGCAAATATGATTGTTGCCAATTCTCTAAAATAATGAATCATTCAATATCTAAATTGAATACATTATAAGTAAACAAATGAAACATTTTAAATTCAGTAAAAATGAATTTTTTTTATAAGAAAACAAAGTTGGCTGGACACAAAAACGATGCTGCTTTCCCTCTTCAAAAATGTTTGTTGCATATATAGGAGAAATAATTTGTTTTGTATTAAAAACTCATTTTGTAAATGTAGAATAAGGTTAAATGATGAGAGTCTAGTAATAAATAAGAAATCATCACCTTAGGAGCATTTCTCTGACCTCGGGCATCTTGATTCTTGTTATACTGGGCTAGTCTAGAGTTATAGTGAGATATTTTACAATTTAAGGAAAATTCAATTTAGAGTAACGTTGAATCAATGAATTAATTGTCTATTCAATTTACAGTGTACTTACACTTAAAATGGTGGGTCTGTGGAGTCTGTCTTCATTTTTAATAACCAGTTACATCATGTATTAATACTAAGTTTGTTATTCTATTTAACAAATCTTTACTTTACGAAATTCACAGTGGGCTCCTTGGGGTAGGCAAGGTAGGCACTGCCTATCCTGATGAATATCTACTAGTACAATACATTTCATAATAATAAAAAATGAAATAACTGTTAAGATTTTAATATGTGTTATTCACCTGGAAACGTATAACGAACATTCGAAATATTGCTCAAGCCACGATAATATATTTTCTGCTTTTTCTCACAGTCCGTGCACAAAGCGATGTTTCATCTCTTCCCGCCCCTTTGCACCTCTCAGGGTAGGCGCGCCCGAACCCTGCCTCGCTTCGCACCGTATTTTGAGAAATAGTCCCTTTAGTGAGCCCAAACCGGAAGCATGCATTGTCCACGCTTGACGCATGCGCGTTGTGCATAGGCCAGCGAATTCCCGTTCTGCCTGCCCGCATCGAAGACTCAGATATCCACTCGCATGCAAGCAGCGCAGCGCGTATGTATTCTGTTTTGTTGACGAGTTGACATGCGGAGAAAGTAATTATTATTTAGGAAGTTTTTTTTTCATTTTAAATTAGTATTGCTTCATTATTAGTAAACTTAAACTATTAGTGTTACTTAATTTTGTTACTTGATTTTCCTTTCCCTTATACGTACGTATATACGGAGTAATAAATAAGCATGATATAGGAAAAGTTAAGTAATGCTCCGGAAAATCAATTTCGAGATTTCAACGGAAATACTCGTTTTGGGGTCAGCTGATACCGGAAAAGTGGTTATTTTCAAAACATTATCTCTGTCTGTCTGTCCCCCCCCTCTCTCTCCTCTCTCTCTCCCCTCTCTTCTCTCTCTCTCCCCTCTCTCCTCTCTCTCTCCTCTCTCTCTCCTCTCTCTCCTCTCTCTCCTCTCTCTCCTCTCTCTC